CTCCAGACTGTAGATGTTCACAGTAACAAGACATCAGCTGAGCTAGACCAGAGTCTCCCAGGAATCCTATTGTCCCAGGAATCCTATTGTGCTGGTTGGAGGAAACTGCAACCTGGTCTGATGGAGGCATGAATCATTTGTTTTGTAGGCTTTCTGTCTGCAGAAGCACAGATGTTAGAAGTGGGGTCACCTGTGTAGGGCTAGAATTTTGCCTCTCAATCTCAGTCAGCTGACTTCTTGATGAGCTACTCCTGGTCCTTGGATGTTTCTGAGAATCAAAGATAGAGGTCATTAAAGGAAGAAGAATTTCTCTAGTTAACTTGTCAGATGGCTGCAATGCCAGCTCTGGCCTGGCTGTCCAGCCTGCTGGGTCCTGCTGATGCAGACTTTGGATAAGCTGGCAATCTCTGTGGGCACGTGGGGTCAACTCCTCAAAGTAAGTCTGTTGCCCTCTGGGTATTTATATACTCTGGTGGTTCTACCCTTCTGAAGCACCCTGGCAAATTAGAAACAAGCCATGTTTTGAGAATTTTGTAAAAGATGGTACTCGAAGGGAGAGGCTCAGAAAAACCTTCATGAAAAATGTGCCTGACTGATCAGCATCAGGCAGTATAGACAGACTGGGCCTCTCTCTCATGCATGCTTTTGCTGTCTAGTTGATTGTGCATTTGTGTTCTCAACACAAGGACTTCTATAATCACCCATTCTTTGCCTTTTCTCCATATCTATGAAGTCTAAGTGCATATATACATGTATATGTGCATTCACAAATGTATATATAGAGAGGGATGGAGGGAGCCCCTCAATAGAATTTCATGAAGAGCTGGTATTAGGAAATTCATGTCATAACTTGCTATCCTTGTTTTTGATTGAGAATCACATAGCCCAGGTTGACCCCAAGCCCGCTATGTAGTAGTGCATGACATTGAACTTCTGATCCTTCCATTTCTACCTGAGTTCAGGGATCACAGGTTATACCACAGCCCCCTGGTTTTATGTAGCACTGGGGATTGAACCCAGGGCTTCATGTCTGGGTTCTACCAACTGAACTAGAGACCCAGCATACAACTTGCACTTTCTTTTGGTTTTGTTTTGTTTTAGAGACAGGGTTTCTCTGTGGCTTTTGGAAGTTGTCCTGGAACTAGCTCTTGTAGACCAGGCTGGTCTAGAACTCACAGAGATCTGCCTTCCTCTGCCTCCCAAGTGCTGGGATTAAAGGTGTGCACCACTATCGCCTGGCCAACTTGCACTTTTTTAAAAGGGAGAATCAGATAAAGAAAGTCACGGAAATATTTTGAGTCCTGTTGTTGCACTTTTGTAGTAGCTCCTGCAGAATCCTTTCTGCCCTCGTGGTTTGCAACATTCAGGTCTAGAATGTCGCCCTCTTCCATTGCTGTGTGAATCATGTTTCTGAGAGAAACCTGTTTTCCTGGTGGCTTCAGGGGATTTCCCAGTGACCTATAAATTTTATGATCCTAACACCAGGGTCCCAGTTGATGATGTTGCCTCAGGAGAAATGAAGACCACACTTGGACCAGCAGCAGGGGCAGAACCAGCTTCAAATGCCGGATGAAGCTTGGGAAGGCTCTCTGGGGACAGGATGTACAAGATGATGGTATTTGGAGGGAAGCTGTATCCCCTCCCCACCCATGTACATAAGTAATGCTATGCAGTAGAGTTTGATTGAAACCCCAGGATGGAAGAGAATACAGAAACCATCCATCTAGTGCAGGTAGAATACAGCTTTTGCAGTTGGATCCAGCAGTGCCTTGTTGACTTTCTACGAGACACCTCCTCGGAACTGGGTCAAACCCTGTGATTAGAGTGGAAAACAGACTCCCCTGTCCCAGGGATGGCTGCTTCCTGCTCTTCCTGCTGCTCTTCTCCTATTTCCAAATGACAGCTGTCTGTCCTGATGCATAGAGTGCAGTTAAGTGTTTCAGGCCCACATGGCAGCTTGGAAAGCCAGATGTTCATACTTTGGTCATACTCTAAAGGTTCTCACTTTATCTTTCTTTCCTTAAAAAAATAGTTGAGGCACTAACAGAAAACATCCTGCTGCATGATGAGTTTTGAAGCTAAATTTGAGACTTATAATAGTAGGGGATTATTTAGTCTTTGCTTTTGTATATTTAGGTTAATTTCAAGAAAACACATGGCAACTTATTGCTTCATTATCATTTATTACAAAATTAGAATTAGCTATGGAATTTTTTGTTTTTTTTATAGTTTTTGTTAAAATATTTCTGAAGACCTCCTATGGAAGGCCTCACCCTCCCTGGGAAGCAGAAAGGGTATGGGAAAGGTAGGGTTTTAGTTGGGGGTGGCGGGGGAGGGAGAGGGAACTGGGATTGACATGTAAAACAAATCTCATTTCTAATTCAAATAAAAATGGAAAAAATATTTCTGAAATGTTTTTGCAAATAAATGTTTTGTAATCTTGTATGCACTAAAATATTCTAAAAATTTTAATAAACAACCCATTGAAATAAAAAAACAAAAAACAAAAAAATAATTGATTTCTATGTATATGACTGTTTGCCTGCATAGATGGCCATGCACCACATGTGTGTACCTGGTGCCTGCAGAGGCCAGGAGAGGGCATCACAGGCCTGGAACTGGAATTACAGACAATTGTGATTCCACACGTGAGACACCTGGGCTCTTTGAGGAGGAACCAGTCCTCTTAACTGCCAAGGCATCTCTCCAGCCTCCCCACTTTATTTTTCCTTGAAGAGTCATTATTAGTCCACGGAGGTGATAGAAATGTCAGTGTAGCCAAGGCAGGGTAAACTATGTTTGTGTATGTAGAGTTGGGGATCAAACTCAGGGCCTCGTAAATGCTAGGCAAGGGCTCTGCTGCTGAAGCACATGTCCTACCCCAAAGAGATAATTTTGTGTTCAAGCTTCAAGTCAGAGGTGTTGGCAAGGCCACATATGATCTCTGATATCATCTATTCTTGGAAAATTGTTCCTCCAGTTATCATCCTATGTAGTCTTGCTATGATGACATCCTTATTTCCATGTATGTGACCCTTCAGGCAGGGCACAGCTTCTGGCCTCACAGGAGTTATTCCCTTCATTCCTGCTTCCTTCTGTATTGTGACTCCTTGTGTCTTTAACCAGGAAACAGGTTATTTAATTCAGGCCTTAATAAACCATAGTTAATATATCAGGAAGACAGTGAGAGATTGAG